CTGTCTTAGTCATATTTACTGCCGTACGCCTAACACTACGTTAAGAGTAGCTACAAGGCATCAATTTTGGGGATAGTGCCCCCAGAATGAATGTGGTGTGCTTCCCTGCTCCAGTCTTTGAATGTTGGAAGCATATATTTAGATCAGTAATATAAAATAAATCTTTGAAATATGTGCTTAGGACCATAGTCTTTACTTGGGCAAAACTCCATTTCAATAACAGGTCAGGGACTCCTGGAAAACAACCATTCCTGTAATTTTGTTTGAACAATTGTTACTAAGGAGCTTCTACTCATTTAGGCTTTCCTCATGGAGCACAACTGAATTTCAGGTAAAAAAAATCACATGGGCCAACAGTAATGAAATACCCATCTGTGCCTACTCCTTACCATGATAGCGCTCAGAGGGCACATCTACACATGCAATGAATGCGACTGAATATACGCCAGCTCAATTTGAGCTAAAGTAAACAAATGCCAACATCACTGTCTACACGTGTGTTTAAGCACAGTAATTTACTGTGTTGCCAGATACCAGATACTGTGTCAGCCATGACTGTCCAGCAGCACAGTAAATTAGTCTACTGCTCCCTAATTGCTGCGCAGATTTGCTGTGCAGTAAAGCATCTCGGTGTAGATATGTCCAGAGACCGCACACTTGCAGAGGACAAAGAGAGAGAGCTTCAGGGTTGTGTATTAACTATACAGGTTGAACAGCTTAACTGATGTATTTCCATTGTTTATTTTATCATAGGATATGCACTTCCATTTAAGTTTATCATAATCATAATTATGTCAGAGATTTTTCTCCTGCCAAACTAAGCAACTCAGATTGAAAACGTATGTTAGGGGAATGAGAGACTAAGATGCACTGCTTCATGTTGGATTCCACTTTTTCTTACCCACCCATAGAGATCTTGTGTCATGGCTTCATGTGTGTACCCTTTTTTTAGAACAACGTCCTGTTTTTTATCAACCTTAACAAAGATTTCCCTGGTTGCATATCCACTCTGTCTTTCATTTCCTTTGGGCAGTAAGTGGGGGAGGGAGGGGTCTTTCTTTTCTTTTTTCCTTCACAACATTTTCCCTTTTATTATTTGGTCTTTTGAATCTTTGAGAGCCTCCTGCTATTATTATTCTTCTCCAATGTTTTCTTCTAATCGGATAGGTTCTCCCTCGTAGCAGCATTGTACAGCATGCAGTATACTCATTGTATTTCCCTGTAGGCAGATCTAGAATCCCAGCAGATTTATAAAGACATCACAACTGCATTTTCAGCATGCACAAAGTGTGTTCTGTAATAGCAGTGTGCCACTTTATCTTGCTATTTGCTGTTCACTAAGGGAAGGGAATAGGAAGGGGATTGTTACCCAAGAGCAAAGAAATATCTGTTGTAAGCTTTGAAATAAGAAATAGTCTAGACAAGCTTATTGTGTTAGAAAGTTCAAGGCATATAATATGTATGTGACAGGAAAGAAGTGGTCTGAACTAAAAGACCAAATGCAACTTTTTCAAAGGGAAAATCTGACTAAGGTGGGATTTTTGTTTGTTACCTGTTGTGCTAATTACTGTGGCCTAAATGTTTGGTAGTGAGATTTGTAGCAAAGCTGATGTCAGACCAATATGTTGCCTTGACATTGTAATTTTTACATGGGGATTGTGGGCACAGTCATGGTGATTTTTATGGCAGTTGAACATGGGGAGCATGTGTCCAGTCCTGGACACCCTTTGTTAGAAATTTGTGAGTAACATTAGAATTGGGGGTGCTACCCACACACCACAGAACACTTGGGGAGATCTTGCCATTGCAGAATCTCTCCCTTGCTACTGAGGTCTCCTTATTGACTTTCATGCCAATTCAAAAAAGGGAGGAAGGAGGACCCCGGAAACTATAGGCCAGTTAGTCTTACCTCGATCCTAGGCAAGCTGTTCGAGAAAATTATTCTGGTACACATCCAGGAGGGGCCAGCAGGGGACTGCATGCTTAGGGGCAACCAACACGGGTTCATCAGTGGCAGGTCCTGTCAGACCAACCTGGTGGCCTTTTACGATCAGATCACCAGATC